CTGGTCCTTCTCCTCGACCCTCTGCTGGTCCTTCTCCTCGACCTTCTCCTTGTCCTCCTCCTCCACACCTTCCTGAGGACAGAGGGCCTGGGTGTATCGCTCCATTCTGATGGCTTTAAATGCTACCTGTCCCTCCCCTGTCCAATGTGGCTGCTGTTCATGCCATGTGGCTATATAAACTAAAATCGATTAAAGTTATAATTAAAAATTCAGTTCTTCAAGCACACTAGCCACATTTAAATTGCTCCACAGCCCACATGGTTGGTGGCTGCCATCTGAGCAGGGTGATATAGAACATTTCCATCACCTCAGCAGCTCCCATCAGACAGGGCTGCTCTATTCATGATGACCCCCAGGACCATATTTCCAGTTTGAATCTCCCGTCTGAACTCTGACTCTGCCACCTGCATATTTCATAGACACCTCAGAGTTAACATGACTTGAAACACAGCTCCAGGCAGTGCCTATGGCTCAAAGGAGTAGGGCGCTGGCCCATATGCTGGAGGTGGCGAGTTCAAACCCAACCCTGGCCAAAAAAACTGCTAAAAAAAAAAAAGAAACACAGCTCCCCCCCCCTCAATATTTCATAATCCTATTTAACTGGCTTCACAGATTACAAAAAAAAAAATCCCACTAGAAAGTGCTTTAAGATTTTAGTATACTCTGAGGCAGTTACTGTTATATGTCACAAGTGGGTAATAAGCGGGGACACACACACACTCTCTGTCCCTGCCATTCGAGCTGTTGACAACCTTCACACCTTAAATAATTTCATCATTTTGCTCAGTTATTATCATGGCCATGATCATTTTGAGGCTTTTTTTAAAAGTCTGATGTGGAAGACTCAAGATAGGACTGTTCAGTATGCCCTCACCATCTCAGAAAATGGCCCTGTCAAACACGGCCCCTGGGAGTTGCCCTCCACCCCTTCCTCCGCTCTGCTATGCTCTGTCATTGAGTCCAGCTGATGCTGTATCTCAGACCTGTTCTGTGTCCCAGGGCCCAGTTATAGGAGAAGCCAGGACCCTGGCTTGTCTCGCTGACTGCGCCAACAGCCTCCTCACGGGAGCTCCTCCTTCATTCTTGCTCCCCCTTCAGTTCATCTTTTCACGTAGCAGCCAGAAAGATCTAAAAGATCCTCTCAGTCTCACTAGTCTGAAAGTGATCCTGGTAACACACAACATTGTGTGTCTCTCTCCACTCCTTTAGAACTTACATGAGAGTGGGTAACTGTTCATTTACAATTTTACTTGTTAAAAGCTTACCCATGGGTGGCGCCTGTGGCTCAATGGGTAGGGCGCTGGCCCCATACACCGAGGTGGCAGGTTTGAGCCCAGCCCTCGACAAACTGCAACAAAAAAATGGCCAGGCGTTATGGTGGGCGCCTGTAGTCCCAGCTACTCAGGAGGGTGAGGCAAGAGAATCGCCTAAGCCTAAGAGCTGGAGGTTGCTGTGAGCTGTGTGACGCCATGGCACTCTATTGAGGGTGACAAAGAGAGACTCTGTCTCTAAAAAAATAACTAAATAAAAGCTTACCCACTAAAAAAATAACTAAATAAAAGCTTACCCACTTATTTTCTGTCTACCTCATGAAGGTACAGGATGTCTCTACTGCTCACGGCTGTCTTTATCACTGTGTACAAAATAATTCTTGGCAAGAAATTCTTATTGGGTGGCTCAGCACAGGGTCCAGCCCAACATTTTCCAAAGTACACTCCGGGGAATATTTTGTGAAATATTCCAGGTCAGAGGTTGGCAAACTATTGCCCATGAGCCGCTCCGGGCTGAGATTGCCTGGGTGTTTAAAAATTATCTTTATTCTTAAGGTTTATTACATACTTCCCACTTCACAGAAAAAACTGCCTGTCTTGTAAAACATAAAACCTTTATGTTTTATTGGTACCCAGTCATGCCTGTGTACTCACCTATCCCACTTTAGCCCAAGGGTAGAGTTGAGTTGTTGTGACAGACCAAGTGACCCACAAAATTTATTGCTTGGCTCTTAACAACAAGTTTGTCAACCCTTTTTTATAGGTGATTATTATAAAATAATTAATTAAAAGGTTATGTGGATCGGATGTATGTTGGGTTCCATTAAAAATCTTGTAGATCTCTCTAATGTAAGACACTGCACTCTCTAAAACATGATATAATAAACAGTTTCCCAAGTTATTTGAGGAGGAACTTTTTTGGTAGTGCTTGCTGGTTCTCTGTAGACTGTGAAATGTGCTGGCCAAGGTCGTGAAACCATGAAGGCGAGAGTCTGTCAGGACTTTCTCTGGAAAGCATCAAGAGGAACTTCTTAGTGGTCACAGTAAACTGGTCATTACTGCTTTTTTCTAAGTAGCGAGATCTACTGGGAAGGGAAACTGAGGAACATTTGCTGAGATGGGATTCCAGGGTGGAGTCACACGTCCAGTAGTCAGCTGTGCACGGAATCAATATCCCAACTTCTGTTCCTGGTCTATAAACCCCTACCAATTGGGGTGCAGCAACCAGGCATTCCCCTTGCTTCTCCCAGAGGACGACCAGTGACTTACCTTCTCCTGACTGTTCAGCTCCTGGTAGGGAATATGGGCAGGCAGGTAGGTGTGGAGCAGAGCACAGAAGGCCAGGCCGTCACTCCAGCTGCTGCTGAAATTGGTGATGTCAATGTTCTGTGTGGAAGAAAAGCAGCATTAATCAAATGTCACGGAATATGAGGGAAACTGTGATAAAAGATGAAAACCCATCTGTGGCAACGTAAGAATAAACTACCCAAATCTGCTGGGTGTGGCTTGGGGTTGGCCAAATCCACTCACAGAATAGCACGAGAAAAAGGCTTTAGTGCTCAAAACAGGAGAGAATTTCTATCTGCTCCATGGAGGGTCACTCTAAAGCAGAGGTTCTCAACCCACAGGAACTGTATTAAAGGGTCACAGCATTAGGAAGGTTGAGAACTACTGCTCTAAGGGCTCTGACACATCTTATTGTTACATTAATCCACCTGATCAGTTTCAGCATTTCCCAGACTTATTTGGTCAAGGAAGAATCACACCAGCACTGCCACCAGCATCTACATAAACCCTGATCACAGCAGCAGACCAAGATAAGACCTTGCAGCACCACAGGGCAGGTGTAGGGCTGGCTCCCGCTGCTACACTCTCTCTCTCTCTTTTTTTTTCTGCAGTTTTTTTCCGGGGCTGGGTTTGAACCCACCACCTCCAGCATATGGGGTCAGTGCCGTACTCCTCTGAGCCACAGCTGCCACCCGCGCCACTACACTCTTCTCTGCAGGTTCCCGCTCAGCCCCTCTCCACTAGCGCACCAACAAGTAGTGCTTCACAGGGACAAGGAGCTCCTCCTTCAGGACGGGCAGCTTGGTGGCTGCATGGCACGCGGTGATAATGAAACTAAAGTCCAACTTTGAACTTTGGCCCATGGAGAAGATGGCTTCTGAAGAATCCCAGGCAGGTGTTTAGGCCATCTGGGGACTCTGCACACCCACCTCTTAGGTCCCCAGACCAGTCTGCTCCCTGCTGACACCAATCAAGTTTTCTTCCTTGGACTTACAAAGCTTGACTCAAATGAAATGTCAGGTTCCCAGGCCCACCGATGCTGTACTGCTTGAGTTGAGTGGTTGCTTAAAGCATTGGCGAGGGGCCTTGCAAGGGACTGTAGAAGTAGGCACAGTCAGGGCTTGCCTGAGTTTTAGGTTTGTGTTCTGAGCAGTCTGCAGGCAGTAAGAGGACCTGGGCAACTACAGGGCTCCTTCTTGCAATCTCCCCACCCCACACCCTGACCTGAGGGGCAGGCAGCCAGCAAGGCCGGCACAGATAGACTCATGCTGAGGTGAGGATCTGTCTGCCGCAACCGTCTCTCCTCCCTTTCCCCAAATGACAGATGCAGTATGCATCTGTGCCTTGTTCCTCCTCCCTTTGCCCATAAGCAGATGCAGTCTCACCACAGTCACTGTGATGCCTAAGAAGCAACTGCAGCTTAAAGAGAGAGGAAGGGGAACAAGGCACAGAATTAACATGGAGCAGGGAAGGAGATTTTATGGAATTCTTCTCCAGGTGTGTGTACAGAAGTTTTGGAGAACACACGTAGGTGGAAACACAGAGTAGAATATGGCATAGTGTTTCCCAGGATGTTTCCTTAGGGGGTTGGAATCCAGCAAATGGCCTTTTTTTGAGACAGTCTTGCTTTGTCACCCTCGGTAGAGTGCTGTGGCATCACAGCTCACAGTAACTTAAGACTCTTGGGCTCAAGTGATCCTCTTGCCTCAGCCCCCTGAGTAACTGGGACTACAGGCACCTGCCACAACACCCAGCTTATTTTTCTATTTTTAGTAGAGACAGGGTCTCACTCTTGCTCAGGCTGGTCTTGAACTCCGGAGCTCAAAGGATCCTCCCAGAGTGCTAGGATTACAGGTGTTTGAGCCACCTCACCCAGCTCATTGGGGTTTTTATCAAGATTTTTCGAGTCCAAGGCAGCTTGCCCTTGGCAATGAGGTTGGCCAAATGCCTCATTTTACAGGTAAACAAATTGAGGCAGGAGGAGGTGGTGTTCCATTGCACACACAGCATTTACCAGACAAGGTGCACACCAGGAACTCCAGTCCCCATCTTCCTATCAATCCTTTTCTCAATTCTAGTCAGAGACTCTGGACCCCAGAATATCCCCTAAAGCACCAGTTTTCAGGAAGATGACATGTTCTCGAGTGTGCTTTTTAATCCCATTTACCCAGGGAAGGATATCTGGCTGAAAGCAATACCAACCGTAATAATGGCTGTTCATTCTGGGTTTCAGGACTCAGGGACAACCAACTTCCAACCTCTAGGCAGGAGTGTTACACACAAGTCTGGGGACGCCCTCGAGGAAAGGGCCCCGCTGGCTTCAGGCTGACTGTGTAATGGCTGGGACCACTAGGGAGCTGATCATGCAGATTTCTGGCTTCAAAATCTCTTTGTAGACTCGGCACCTGTGGCTCAAATGGCTAAGCGCCAGCCACATACACCTAAGGTGGCGGGTTCGAATCCAGCCCGGGCCCACCAAAACAACAATGATGGCTGCAACCAAAAAATAGCTGGGTGTTGTGGTGGGCCCCTGTGGTCCCAGCTACTTGGGAGGCTGACGCAGGAGACTCGCTTGAGCCCAGGAGTTGGGAGGTTGCTGTGAGCTGTGATGCCACAGCACTCTACCCAGGGCAAAAAGCTTGAGGCTCTGTCTCAAACAAACAAACAAACAAACAAACTAAAAACCAAAAAACAAAATCTCTTTGTAATCAACAGCTACCTAATGAGACCTGGATACTGCTTTAGAAACTGGAAACATGTTGATTTTATATCCCCTGAAGAATGTATGTTAGAAAAAACAGAGGAAAGAAATGGTCAAGGGGCTGTGACCCATGGAGTTCGCTTGGTCTCAAGCATTCAAACCAGATGCTGTAGACAGCAAACCCTGGGAAGGCATGACAGGGGTGGGGCGGTCTGGCCTCCAGAGGCACGAAGAGCATCGCAGCTCTCACCAAAGCTGCCTTCCGTCCCCCGTTCTTTGCCATGCACAGGCTGCCTGAGACCCCATGTCCAAATCCATCTCTGATGGTGCTTGTCTTATAGGGAAGGAAAGCTGGACTCTGTTTCCAGAGACCACTTGTTCACGTTTACCGCTGATGTTCAAGCCATGATCAAGATAAAAGCTCCTGAAGTATGAGTCCTTAAATAGAAAGCTCCCATGACGGTGACGGTGGAAAGGGCAGTGATGTGGTGAGTATCCATGCACATGGCAAGTAGCATTATACCCATTTGACAGACAGGAAAGCTAGAGCATAAAGAAATGCTGCTAGTCAGGGTGAGGTCCAACGCCAGTTCCGTCAGACTCCAAAGACACTGCAGAGGGACGGAGAGGAGAGGGCCTGGGCAGGATGACCACTGCGGGAGTCCAGCCCTATTGGCAGTGGGAGAGCAGACCCTCAGCTCGCTCGACTCACGTCTGGGGCAAGAGTGAAAGACAAAGCTGAGGGGGGCAGAGAGCAGAGTCTGGGGGAGTCGGGGAGAGCTTGGACTCTTCCATCCTTGTGAGTTACAGAAACTAGACCACACTTTCTGTGGCCAGACCAGGACCACCAGGAGCAGGCTCCAGGGTGGATGGCATTGCTCTCTGCACACTGGTCAGTCTCCTGTGTCAAGGAGCTTGTATGTCCAAACAGGCCAGATTTTCCTTCCCAAATAAACTTTATAGCTAAAGTTTTCAATAGTTGCTAAATCGTTCTTTTCCTAAAACATGAGCATATTTCATGAGCACTTACATCTTGTGCCATCTATGGTACAAATGTGAGGTTTCTTTTCCTCTGCACCATCTTCACAAGATTTTTGAGAGGCCAGACAGATCCAAAAGCCTAGCCATGCCACCTGTCTTAAGCCTGGACAGCACTCCAAACATACTAAGAATGGCACCAAAAATAGTTCTTAAACTATTGAGCAATAGGGTGAGGCTAACATCTGGTGAGATCCACGCCAGGATTGGAACCCATCAAACAAAATGATGCATAAACTCAGGGGCGCTTGGGCGCCTGGATGCCCCAGGACAGACCCTTGTGCTCAGCAGCAAGAGCACCAGGAACCAAGCAAGAAAAAAAGAGAAAGAATCCTCCCAGAAAAAGCAATGATCATAAAAATTCCAACCTAGCCCTGTAAACAAACCCCACATCCTGGTGAGGAAAGGCTTCTCGTACACAAGGATGATCTCCATGGTTCTGACTCACGCTGCTCTAGAGACAGCAGAGAGGGAGCACCCCAGTTGTGAGCCGCAACGCCACACTCACCCCAAGAACACCACGCCAGCAATAGAAACATTGCCCTTTCATCTCTGAGTGGAAGGATGCCAATTATATTCCCCTAGTGCCATTTGAAATTGTCCCTGATTCTGTTTGAGCACAAAGAGTATCAACAGCTCCCAGCTCCACACAGCCGGCCGGGCACTGGAGACATGTGTGTTCATGACACCTCGAGTATGAGGTGTCATCCCAGGGGCTGCGCTGCTGTTCTTGTTATGACCAGGCTGGTTTCATTTCCGACCCGTGGGCACAGTTTCCTGGAGGAGGGGTCAGCTGATGGCCGCGGCACACTGTGATGGGCTCACGTTTTTCCACATGGAGATAAAATGAACCACAGGAAAGAGATGAGTCCATATATGCTTTATTGGATCTCTCTCTCATGTCACTTTGGAAAAGCCACATAGCTTAAATCACCACTGCCCTGTGCACCCATCTACAGTGGCTGTAAAGTTGCGGGGGGGGGTGTACCCCCATCAGCAGACCCAGGGAGGCTGAGAACAGTGGTGGGTGGCCACTTCAAGCAGGGCAAAGGTTGCTGTTGCAGGGTAGAGTGCTGTGGCATCACAGCTCACAGCAGACTTAAAGGAGCTGGATGGCTCGGGGCTAGCCCAGTCTTCCCAGAGGTCCTGCAGACTGGGCCGTAGAGGACAGCCACCTTGGTGCTCTCAAGGCTCTGAATGGTTGTTTCCTGGATTAGAAAAGTCTCTTGCCTTGGGGCAGCCAGGACCTAGGCAGGGTGTGTGGGTCCCAGCTGAGTGGGCTAAGATCTGGTCCCCCTGCAGTAAGCAGAGAGGTCCAGGACACCAGGGCAGACTAGACCCATATCCTGGGTAATGAGCA